ATTTTAACACTAGTCTTAGGCAAAATCATTTACTTGCCCTTACTATACCGTTAGCATTATCTCCTATACCGACCTCGAGCAAAATTAATTACTCGCCCTTACTACGCTATTAGCGCGTCTTTATATACCGACCTCGAACAATACCTCGCTATCTACTGCTACCGCGCTATTAGCATCACTTCCTACCTAGATTTCGAATAAGCCCTCGCTATCTACTACTGCCGCGCTATTAGCATTATCTCCTATACCGACCTCGAACAAGCCCTCGCTATCTACTACTACCGCGCTATTAGTATTATCTCCTATACCGACCTCGAATAAGCCCTTACTATCTACTACTACTACGCTATTAGCGCGTCTTTATACGCCGACCCCGAATAAGCCCTCGCTATCTACTCCTACTACGCTATTAGCGCGTCTTTATACGCCGACCCTAAATAAGCCCTCGCTATCTACTCCTACTACGCTATTAGCGCGTCCTCTTACGCTAACCTTAAACCTAACGATATTGTCCGCCCTTAGTGCGTAAGTAGTAACCTATTCTACGCTAGCCTCGAGCGACACTATTATATTTACTACTGCTATGTTTTAGTCGAATCGGCCCGAGCTTATTATATTACTTTACCTTCGGGTCGAATTATAGCGATGGCGCGAGCTATAGCTAGTATAAAGAAGATAACAACATTATATAACTAGCTAAGCTTTCTAGGACTACCCTAGCCTAATAAAGATAATTCTACAAAAGCTAAGACTACTATATAAGCTACCGCGATAGAAATAAAAGATATAGAAAAAATGTTATATCGCGAGGCAAGAGACAAATATGTAGATAAGATTATCGAGGATAATAAATACTAGCTTCTAACACACCGCCTAAGGTAGACTAAATCATGTATCATACGACAGATAGATATAATAATCCATAATCGCCGAAAGACAGAAAAAGAAAGTATTAAGAAAGGGAAACAAATCGACATCGGATAAGGAAAGAATGTTAAGCGTAACGAGACTAGTAAGAAGTGTAATATAGTAATAGAGGACTAGAACGAAGAAGAGCGTAAGCTACTATCTACGGTCCTAGTAACTAGTCCTCCGCTCGAAACCTATACTATTAATACGTCTAATGTCGACGGCAAACTCGAACCTCGCCTACTACGTTAGTACATCGTTAAAATTAACAACTCGTCGTCGGAAAAATAAGAGGAGCACGTAAGGCTACCTATCTCTAATTGTGTAAGGCTAGGCGCCTCGCCTAATCTAGACAATATAACACAATTCGACATTAGTCTTCTAGATCTAGAAACGCTTATATGTTACGTAGGCGTGTCCTATCTAAACTACCTCGCATATCGATATACCGAGGCCCCTAGACGTTTTGCGCGTTTCCTAGTTATTAAGGACGACGTAGACTTAATTACGGCAACCTAACATCTTATTAATAAGTCTAAGTCACCCGCTAAGCATCTACTATTATATATAATGTAGGACGAAGGTATGCGCACTTATCCCGTTCCCGTTACTTTATGCTAATAGCAAAAGACTTACGTTAGCCTATCCTAATAGCATACGAGACCGAGGGTCGACTCGAACTACTATTAGTAATTGCCGATAGACTAGAGCTCTAGGATCGTTTAATTAAGAGATCTCGACGACTTAAACGAAAGGCCTTCGAGATTAGCTAAGATAATGACGATCGTGTAGGCTAGAAAGACTAGGCTAAGAAGGTAGTCTTCCCCGACTAGGTTAAAGTAATAGGATATAGCCTAGACTATAAGAGACACTAATTAGCTAGAGTAGCTTCTAGTAAGGAAGAACGACACTCTACACTAGAGGATTAGACGATAGAGAATTTTACCGATGAAATTCTGTGCCCTCTAGCACTCTAGATCGTTAAGCATGTATAGTATAGAATATCGTGTTTCTATAGCTTAGACAACAAAATGTATAAGCGAGGAATTGAAAAGTGCAGATAGCAGTGCAAGTTATGCTAATTATACTTAACATATTGAACTTGCTAACAGCGATATAGGCAATACTCTTCGGTCGTTTACGATTCTTTGTTGTAATTTAAAGTGATAGAATGAGGGGTTAGTAACGAAGGAGGCCTACTTAGGAGAAGTAATAGGTAACAATTACGTTAAGAATGGTATTTCTTAGCGACGGTAGGTCTGTTATAAATATCTAGGCTCCGTACATTTATTAATCTAATGATAACTTGCTTTACGGTATAGGTTACAAATTCTACTATCTAATCGTAGATTATCGGAATATATATCTTTCTACGGTATACTATCTTCTTTCCTAGGACTAGGTAGGCGACACCGAAACTAACCCTTTAGTTACTCTCTAGTCGGCCTAATAGAAAACTATCTAGAAGCTGCTATTCTCGAAGTCTAAGATAGATCTAGACGGAGAGTCTTACTATATAGATTATTTTGTTGCATAATGTAAACATTATCGCTCTTACTATATAAGCTTTCGGTAACGGGAAGCTTAGTTCTAAATCTAACAGAGATTAGATCGACTCGATGTATATACGGCAAGAGTGCACATTTATGTAAAGAGAAATAGTATAGGGAACCTGTTTATAAGTACAACATTCGCGTTAATCGTTAGCCGCTAATACCTGCTAGATCTAGGCGCTATTTGCTACTACTAGATACATATTTAGGATTACATGCATTACTATTTCCCTATTAGGCAATCTAGTCTTTACCTAGTCAGCGGTGCGGTGTAGACGAGTCCATAAAACTGGAATCATCGCGATCCTTTTATTTCGAAATTAGCTTTACTATATTTAATCCTACATAAAAAAAGCAAAGGTCGTGTCTCGACATTCCGGAGAACTAAATCTACGTAATGTATTCTTATACACACTACGCTATACATGAAATTGGCCTATGCCTAATCTGCAGGTATGCGGGTATGCATCAATAAAGGCAGCCTAAAAGAAAAAACTTAGGCTATGTTTCTAATCACGGGCTTAGTAATTAATCGACGCTATATTTCACTATAATCTCTCGCTAATATTTCATTATAGTCGAATAGAATGATCTAGAGACCAATTAGAAAAGCGCAGCGTATAAAAGCATAATACATATATCGAAGTAGTAGTAAAGTACTAAGAAAGAGTACCATTAAATAGAGCGACATAGGTGACTTAATCGTACTAAAATCACTACACTTTTACTAGACATTAGCGATGCATATTGCTATTACCGCGTTTAGAATTGCTACGGTATGTAAGATAGACCCTACAGGAATGTAGTTAGACTTCCCCGTTTAGTGTTAGATGTTGTCTATACTAAGACGACATACCTAATACTACTTAATAAATAGCTTATCGAGTATAATTTATATACTCCTACATTAACAACTCCGACGGCGATTATCTAGACCGAGACATATACACGAGGCTTAGAAGAAGTATGCGTTTATTACGCATCCTTTCGACCGTCCCTAGGTTGTCTAGAAAAGAGTATATAGAATGTAAGACGCATTCGTCTAAATCTATCTATAGATATTCCTAATAGATGTTAGATAAAATCCTATACGAGGCTAGTCTCTAAGAGATATACGACTTAAGTAAGAAGTTCTAGAGGCTCGTAGAGATCGTCGAAACTTTTGACTAGATACTAACAATTAGTCTAAGTGCGCCCTTAATAAGACTAATACTAGGACTCGTCGCTAAAGGCTCCTCTTCTAGTTAGCTAATCTAGTAACATGCCCGGTAGCCTTTAAGGTAATTTAGAATTATGAAATAGAAACATAAGCACTAATAGTTTATAGTTACTCGAAACTAGAAAGTACGGATACGATAGAGATAAGGTAGAAGCAATTCGCGTAGGCTAGAATTACTAGGCGCGCATTAAGATTATAGAACGTTTCTAACAAAGGCCGCTTCTAGAAAATGGAGATTATAGAACATATAGACCTAATACTAGCCTCTTAGTTCTTAGCTCGTATGTTATGCGTGTAGGTCTTACGTTAACATATTCATACTAGGTTATTATACTTAGACCTCCGTTAAACGTTGCGATAGATCCTCGAACCGGTATAGCACTACCCTACATCCCTCTCTAGTATCCTCGAAGTACGAGATTATACCGCTCTAAACTATTCGTCTTTTATTTAATCATGTATTAGTAGAATTGAAGAGTATAGGAAAATGATGTCTACCTTCGGCAATGTCGCCCTACTAACCACTATAAATAGTAATAGAATAGTAATAATAAGGAAACAATCATAAAGTGTTATACGTTCGTTAAGAAGGCCTAATAATAGAGCGCTACCTACATGTATTATAGGTTAAACGACTATGCTCGCTATAATGCTATAGAGGACATAGGAGAAGAAGAAGAAGAAGAAGAAGAAGAAGAAGAAGAAGAAGAAGAAGAAGAAGAAGAAACATCCTTTTGTTTTTTGCTATTTTATAGTAGATAAGTGTTCCTCTAACCTCCTCTCTTTATAGCTTAATGCACCATTCTATAGAGCTTTAGTGCTTTTGTCGAATCATTATTAATTTAGAAAATTTAGAACGCAGCAGAATAAATTAATTCTAAGCATCGCTATCCTCTAAGCTTCTCCCTTCGTGTTTTATACTCTCGATCCTCTCGTCTCCCTTATCGCTTCGGTTAGTAAGGCTCGAATAGGACCTCGTAGGCGGTATATATGCTAGGGTGCTTAGGGGGAGCCATACTGCTACTATAACCGTTAAGGGACTATAGATCTTCGCTTAGCATGTCGATGTCGCTAGATTTTCCGTTAGTCGAGCTAGATAGGGTTTAGAGACTATAGCCTTCGATAGAGTGCAAGGGAGTGTTAGGATCGATTACTAGGGTAAGACCTACTAAGGTCTTCTTTAAGGCGAACTTTTAGGTAATAGGAGACGAGTCCTTAGAGCTAAACTCTCCTATAATACTATTAGCGCGTTCGGACGAGGACTAGCCGCTCTTATCTATAGATAGGCTTCTAGCCTATAACTTCTCCTAGAAGACGCGTTAATTCCTAATTAGCGTTAAACGACGAATAGGACCGTTATCTTTATCGTCCTCGATTAAGAAGCTAACGCGCTTATAAACCTTTGCCTTCTTACCGACCTTAGTCTTAGTAACCTTAACCTTAGACTTAGCTATAATCTTCGTCTTGCCCTTACCCTTACCCTTATCGCCGATATCTTCCTTAAAGCTGTTAATTAGAGGGACCTCGAGACTACGACTACGGAATGCTATAGTAACATCTAGAACAAAGTTAATGTACTATGCCTGCAGATAGTACCTAGCTAAAGTAATGTTAGTAGTAGCAATCTTTTTATCGAAGATTACGACGTTAGGCGTAGCTATACGAGTATGCTTTATAGCGTAGTCCTCTATAATAGAGGCTACGTTAAAGATAGGGCGCTTTCTAAAGTAGAACTTAATGATGTAATGAATGCTAGACATCTTCTAGGGGTCGTTCGTGCTATAGCCGACGATAATTGCTAGGCGGAGGCTTTAATCGAGGATCTAAGATAGACCCTTAACTTTAAGTAGAGGGATCTTACGTGCGCGTAGAGATTCGAGGGCGATGTCTATAACATTGCCTATATAGTGTTAGCAAAGATCGTTAAGTAGAAGACATAGATTAAAAAAACCATTATTGTCGTTAGTAAGTTTGTTAGAGACACCTATAGTGTAGTTAGAGTAGGTTAGTTATAGGCGGTAATCTTGTTAAGACTACTAAACGTCGAAAAAACGGCGAACTCCGCGCTCTAAACCCTAGAATTCGAGGTCTCGGTCATGTCTAAAAGGACAATATTTAGTAGAAAAACAAATTTACCCCTAAAGTACCTATAGCCCTAAGTCTAGGGCTACCCTGTCTAAAAAGCCTAGAAAGACGATTACTTTTTTTGTCTAGTTTAGACTCGCCCATCTAATAATTAGGGATAGAAGAAAAGATTGCAACATACGTTAGTAGCATAAAGGGGTAGTAGGACGGCGGAACGGCGCACTAGGTTAAAAGTCTTAAATCTTCAGTTACTTAACTTCTTAGAGCCTCTAAAGCCTCTAAACCTTAGGTCATTCCTCTTAACTCGTCGCGCTCGTTACTATCGCCGCCGTCCTCTACGCCTCGCCTTATTTCCCTAGGCACCTACCTCCTACTAAGGGCGCTTACTAGAATGTTACCTACGTTATGCCTTTAAATACTTAACCCTTACCCTCGCGCTATTATATCTAACATTATATATCGCACGCCTACGCCGCTCGTCGATATGCCTTAAGGCCGCCCTATAATCGACGTCGAACCGCTAGCCGAAGTAATCGAAGCTCTTATTAACGATAAGCACTAGTCTGTCGACGAAGTCATCGCCGAGCTCGACCTTATATACTACGTTAAGTGTAGTCGCTCTACCCTCTAGAGAAGGCTTAGAGAATAGGGCATTAATGTTAAGCTACACCTCTACGAAGGCTCTAAGGAGCTTAGGGCCGCTATTGCTTTACTATTCTTCGAGACTATACTAAACGATGCGAAATTAGCCGATATCCTTTGTCGGCGTAGCTCCGACATAGGCCGCCATAAGCTTAAGCACTTTTGTAAGGACATAGGACTAACTAAGCGCCTTTCTTATTAGAAAGTAGAGGAGGGTAGCGCTACTATACACGATATCCTTACGAAGGAATACGCCGATGCCTGCATCTACGACCGACTACTAATACATTACACTATGATTTGTTCTATATAATCCTTTACAAAACATCTATCGGGTCTACGCCCTAAGAACTACTATCTCTTATTCTTAGGAGTCCCCGCTCTACTAGCTACCTTCCTTTAAAATGTTTAGATGCTATAGCTCTTTCCCTAAAGAGGCTACGTTAATGTAGAGCGGCTTCTACCGTAGAATAATTAGACGTAGAAGACTTACTCTAAAAAATGGAGAGAACTAATAGAGGTTTTATAAAGGATTATATAAACTTTAAGCTACTAAAGTCGATTTCTACACATTGCTCTTACTAAACGACAACCGAACGACGACTAAATAGATAATCTATAATTTAGTTATAGCTACTACGTATTACGCGGGTAGTAAAGCACTATAGAGGCTAACGTATGCTTACGTCCTCTTGCCCTACGCCCGTCTCCTACGCGGTCTAAGGTCTCGAATAGCTCTAGAAGATAGAGAATGGTTCGAACAAAGGTAGCATACATATAGATACTCGTTTTGTTGCTTCGTCTTCGTTAAGCTTATTACTATCCGAACTTAATTACGGACCTTAGTATCGTTACGACTACCGCTAAGATTACGTAAGACACGATAGACGACATCTATAGAAACCTCGATCCTAACGTTGTTTTACGAACTAAGGAGGCTAACGGGACGTTTAAACTAGTCGATGCTACGCCCCTTTCCGCTACTTAGACCTCGCTAGCTTACTCTACTTAACGCATTATAAGAACCTAGGTAGAGCCTTTAGTTAATAAATGGGTTAGGAGTCGACTAACCCTATACTAGGCACACTTATGTAGCTTGCCGAAGAGGGCAACGTCTCCCTCTAGGAGGTCATTATATAGGGTCCTAAAGACTCTGTCTACGTAGTATGTAATTCCCTGTCCCTTATACGACCTTATAATCTAACTTCTATAGCTTAGCGTTATATGTCTCCCGCCCCGGGGCCTATAGACCCTAGGGACCTAGAGAAGAGAGTGTTAGAAGTATACCTTACCGTCTATAAAGTCTTCCCCCTTCTACCTTCTCTCTAAGTTTATTATATATAATGTCCTTAGATAACGACTAGTACCTCCTCCCTATACGTAATGTCCTCGGATAACGAGACTAGGTGCCCCCCCTCCCCCCCTCTAGGTAGGAAGCTAGGTTCCTCTCCTTAATTGCTTAATTGCATCCTAGACTAACATCGTAAGTTACTATAGGATAACGCTAGCGCCCTTATTAAGAACATCTTACCTACCCTATCCTTACGGACCTAAGCGTGCTCCTATCCTTACTAGACCGGATTATGCTCTAGTCCTTTACTTCTACCGTAACACACTATATAGGCAATGTCTATATTTACTAGGTTTCACCTTAGTCATTATCTTCTACTCCTATAGTTAGAAAAGGAGAAGGTAGAGTAGTTAGCTTAGTCTCTTTTATACCCTTACAGATTATAGCTATAGGATTTACCCTACCTAAGTGAAACGCGACACTACTACGTCTTACTGCTTAGGGTTTTAGCTATTATATAAACACTATAGATAGGAATGACGGGTGTAATGAAGGCTAAGTGTTATGTCTCTTTACTAACGGCGTTTACTACTAGTAGGGTAGTCGTTCTAGTTATTAGGAACCCTCGGCGATAACATCTTATGTACGATATACGCGGCTACTTATAAGCGAGCAAAAGCGGTTAACTTATATATAGATAGCTATTATTATACGTAACCCTCTTCTTAGGAGTTTACGAGACTATGCGTTCGCTAAGAGCCTAAGCTGCCGATTTGGCTCTATATATGTTTATTCGGCGGTTGTTCGGTCGTCATTATAGGACCTAGCTAGCGATCGCAAGTACGACAAGCTAAAGCGTTATAGGAACGCTATAACTACCTACATCTAACCCGACAAATACGACCTAACGATTAAGGGCCTAGGCCTAGTAGAGAGGTCGTATGTATTGCTAGATTTCCTTACTAGTTGCCTTCCCTAATTTAAAGACCTAGTAGACCTCGATATACCCCCTATCTTAGTTACTAGTTTTAAGAAATTTAGTAACTAACCTAAGGGAGTTAACATACGGGTGCTCGAAGGACTAACTACTTAGGCCCTTTCCCTCTTCTATAAAGATAAGAACACTGCCTTAGTTAACATCTACTACGAAAGGGTGTTAGAAGTGTCTACTCTGTCTATCTCGCTAGAAGGAGAGACTCCTAAGGCAGGTAAGGCTAAAGGAAAGGGTAAGGCTAATAAGTCGGATAATAACTACGTAGGCGTAGATACGTATTTAGATTAGATAGCTTTAGTTAAAGCTACAAAGCAAGACATAAAGAACAAGAAGGAGGGAACGGCAGCGCGTATTAAAACACTAGTTACCGCTAAAAAGGTTCTAAAGTCTAAGGTACGTTATGTTTAATGCTTATTTGGTCGCCGTTCGGCTACTAACTCGTTTATATAGGCTTCTAGAGTTAAGGGTTCCGTAAGTACTTCTTAGAAGATCTAAGACCCTATATTCGGTTATCGCTCGGTGCCTATTCGGTTACTAACATTCTCCTAGAAGTTAGAACTAACACTAAAGAAATTTACCCTACTAAGAATCGACATAAAGAAGAAACTAGAAGTAGCTAAGGCCGTAGCTGCTACTAACGTATCCTCCCCTTAGGATCTCGCCTCCCCTTAGGATCTCGCCTCCCCTTAGGATCCCGCTTCTCTATAGTAACATACCGCTACCTCTACCCCTAAGACTATTATTATAAGTAAAGAATTGCTTGTCTTTGTCGATACTAAAAACTCCCCTCCTTCCCCTAGCGACAATAAATACGGCACCGAGGTTAACTTCGATAACTAGCAAACCTACGAAGGCGATCTATCCTTTATAGATGTCGCTAATCTAATTAAGGGAGCCGTGCTAACTATATTAAAGGAACTAGGAATTAAATAAGAGAAGGGAACATAGGTTAAATAAGAGAAGGACGTCGTTATTAAGGTAGAGAAGGTCGAGGAACTAGATGTAATTATTATATAGGTCACCGCTCGCTCGTAGTCCGTAGTAATTAACCTAGTGTCCCCTACTCCGTCGCTATAGAGGCTCCGCCCTTCTTTAGTTGCTATAGAAACGCCCTTAAGGATGCCTAATAACATATTATTAGTTACGCTACTATAGTCGCCCTTATTAACCGAACTAGGCAGCCCCTATGCTAAACTAGGAGCTAATTGTCCGTTCTAGGAAGAGGAGCTAGATAAGGGAGAGGAGGAGTAGACAAAGAAGGATAACGTTTAGTAGTAGTAAGAGACTTAGTAGCGAGCAGGATTAGTAGATAGAAGGTAGAGACGTTTAGTACTACTAATCCGACTATGTTCTACGTAAAAGAAAGAGGTAGAATATCTTAGTTGTTGTTTCCTTTATTACATCACCTTTCGGTATTACTCTTATTGCTTCTTACGTCTCTAGATAATTAACAATAGTTCTATTCTCTTTATTTAGTGCTCGTTAGGTAGCTATCTAAGGTGTGAAAGTAGAAGTGACCGTAGGACTTTTAGTTTTTAACCTATAAATCTCTCTATAACTTACTAATCTAACCCTCTTAGTAACATTAACATTAACTTTAACTTTAAGCTACGCATTAACACGCGTATCACCTCTTACTTTATTGCTTTCTCTTCTACATCATCTTTCTTCTATTTAGCATGTCGGACGACCCTCTTATAAGCGTATATACCGAGCAACTTACTACGCGTAACACCGCTAACCGGACT